CTATGAGGTTAGGAAAGACAATTCAGACATTTGAGGGCTAGGGAGATGGCTTGATGGTTGAGAGGATATAATGCTGTTCTTGAGGACTTGAGTCTAGTTCTTAGCATCCATGTCAGATGGCTTGTAACTGCCTGAAATCTCCAGCTTCAGGAGATCCAACACTTCTTCTGGCCTCCATATGTACCTGTATCCATATGGGCATACACTCATAGACACATGTGAATAAAAATAATTAAGTCTTTAAAACAGGAATTTTTACTTTCTAAGATTTTAAAAGTATTTCTATAGGAATCTTTAGTTATATTAAAAAAAACGTAGTTTCAAAGACAATCTCAAACTTTCCACAGTCCTCAAGAAAACATTGAAAAACGCTACCAGGGATGTCAAGGGGAAATAAACCTGGCACAGCCACCATAGAAATCCAGGTAGAGGTCCGTCAAAAAGCTAAAAATAGAAAGATCATGTGATCCAGATATACCACTCTGAGCACACACTGGAAGGGATCTGTGCCATCAAGCTACAGAGATGCTTGTGTAACCTCCTTTCCAGCTGCAGTGTTCACAACAGCCGGGAGGGTGAGCCAGTCTGCATGCTGACCAACAGGTGAATGATCAAGAAAATGCAGGTGTATACACTATAGTGTTTCAGTAATAAAGAATAAAGTCATCTCAGTTCCGGGAAATGAATGGGATTCAGAATCATTATGGTGAGAGAAATAAGCTGGATTCAGAAAGACTAACACTGTGTTTTCTCTGAATACAAATATAGCCTGTGCCTTTAGGAGGAAGGAGGTAATGAAACGGGAGAAAGAACAGCAGAAAAGTTACTCTGGGAAAAAAAAATCTAAGAAAAATACACAATGTGCATGTATTAAAATGTCAAAGAAAACATCCTGTTTGTATATTGAATGCAGGTTAACTGAAATTAAAAAAAAATAAACAGTAGAAAATGCATTAACTGTTACACTAACAGAAACCCTCTTACCATGTGCATACTGGTGGAGTGGGTGTGATATTTTGGAACAAGAACCCTGGCTTCCCCCATTATCTGCCCTTAACTGGTCCTGCCGCCTGTGATAATGTCCTCATCTGTGAGTTTAGGTTGCCTAAGAAGATTGGATTATCCCAAAGTAAATCACTTTGAGGCTGCCTTGTTGGGGATCTGTTGTTTCTCTTTGAAGAGTTACTGTGACTGCATGGAGAAAAGGCTGGAGCTGCCTGTGGGTGGAGCTTGTTTGGGACTGCTGTGATTTTTCCCTGCTGTGGAGAGCCTTGCACACATTAGAGCGGATATCTGTGCCTTCAGCCTGAGCACTAGGTTTGCATAGTTCTCAGTGACCGTTGTTTTATTTTTATTTCCTGCTGTTGGCTGCAAGTAACCTGTTTCCCAGTTTTCCTTCCTCATACAAGCAACCTCTAAACATAGCACTGTTTCTATGGAAACATACTTTAGCCTACAGATTCGAAAACGCGTTTTATTTGAAAAATAAAGATTGTCACATTAATACATCCAAATCTGGGCTGTGACCCAGATTTTGTATTTTATGAATTAATTTGACTTAAAAGGAGTTGCTTAAAATTGGTTGAAAATTGTTTCCATGTGATATTTTTTTTCTAGCTGAGTTGAGCTGGTTAAAATTTTACTTTCTTAGGAAGAGTCAAATTTTTGTCTTTTGTTTACGTTGTATTCAAATGATTAATCAGGCGGGCCTGTAGACTACAAGCAGATTCTGTTGCTTCACACCTTCAAAGTAATGAGCACTGTTGGATGATTGAGTACACCCAGACGGCACGGGCACAGGTGATGCTTATCTTTTCAAGCGCAATTTGAAGATAGTCTCCATTCATGCTCATATCATAGACCACGATGAGCTTGCATTACAGACAATAACATTTCGGGTGATTTTAGTTTCTGTAGCTGAACTTTGGTATGACTCCTGGCGGGTGTGCCTGCACCAATCAAAGGTGTATTGGCCCCGTTTATCTTTCTGTGGTACTAAGTTTACACTTCTTTTACAATATGTCTTGGGACAGCTAAAGATGTCTGTGAGGTTAGCAAAGAAGGTGAGAAACTCTCGTGTAAGAAGATGGGAACTTTGGGAGAAGCAAACCCTCGGTAGAAGCTCCATCAGCAGAAGGCAGATCTTCACAGGAATCACATCTCCAAATAGCAGCCCATGAACAGTAGAATGTGAGGTGTCAGTGAGACAGCTGTCCAGAAAGTGTTTCCCCATTCTGTTTTTATTCTGAGTATGGAACGTTTGGGGTGGTACATAAAAGTAGGATCAGAAACTGCCTTGGAAAATCCCTCCACAGTTTTCACTTTAAATTGTAAGTCACTAGGAGTGAAAACAAAGCCTACACTGAGGGGCAGTTTAGAATCTGTCCTGCTGTGTAGATAAATTTCCATTTGAGCACAGAGGGCTTCTTTATCACGACTCTGCATCTTGGCTGTTGGACTTCTTGAGCCTTCAGTGCAAGGCTTGAGCTAGTCCCTACACTCCACTCATGGGTGGTTGATGACTGTTAAGGTAGTCTTGCTTACAGCAACTGCTTTTCCTGCCTGCTCTGACATAGACCAACAAATGACCAATGTGCCTTGAGTTTTGTTTGTTTGTTTGTTTGTTTGTTTTCCACCAGAATCAATCAAAGCTGGGAAGGAGCAGGTAAGCACTTTTGGTGGCTGTTTGGTTTTCTGGTGGAAGGAGTATCTAAACATTTCGGTACTTGATTTTCATGAGCAAAGAAATGCCTAGAACTAATTATAGGCTTTTGAAGGGTTATGTTAGAAATGGTGTTGTGCTCATGAGGGAAAAGTTTGAGAAAAAACATACAAAGTTCCAGAGAAATAACAAAAGGTGGGGTAGGGTCTTTTGTGTCATGTTAAACGTCTTTGTGTGTGTTGTAGAGGAGGAAATGATAAAATGTCAGAAAATCTGCTAGGTTATTTATCATTTTATTAGCCTGTAAGTTAGAAAACAAAGTTATATTTCATTGCAACATTTTAATACACATACATCATTACATTGTTCTTGTTCATCCCCTCCTCCACTGCAGTCCTCCATCTCCTCTGCTCACCTCTGTCTGGCTGTCTCTCTTCCCTCAAATTGTCCACCTTTTTTTTTTTAATACAACACTTTCTATTTTTAATTTATTTTTTGGATCTCTTTCCCTATTGTCACGCTGTCTTTTCTGATTTCGTGATTTACCACACACACACATTTATACACCAAGACATAGTTGTATTTGTGCACACATAGATTATTCTATGTCCAGGTTCTGCTTGCTGACATGTGTTTTTGAGTCCTTTCCTGCAACTGTCATGATTTTTATTTCATTTATGGATTCGATGCAAAATAACTCTTGAAGGGAGGCATCGCCCAACGTTTTATAGCTAGAGGGAAGTTTAATTACCTGTTCCGTTGTGAAGCACCTGCTTGTTGGCGACGGAGCTGCTTGTCCTTTTCCAGACCCTGTCCTCTGCCTGAGCACATGCTCACTGAAGCTGTGGAGCTGCACTGGAATTTAGGCTTAACTTCAAATTAAATTCAAAATTCATATAAATTTCAAAACTTCTTTAAATTAGTTTTAAACTTAAATCGTATACTTAGATTTGAAAAAGATCAAAATTCAAACACTAAATTGCATTGTAATTGTTGATTTTAATGTCATATGAAATTGTTTCACATAAAAGCAGACAGGCAAGTATATATTTTTTAGTGTATTACTTCATTAAAATGCTTAGTTTGACTATAAACACTTAGGTTTTTGTGGAAGTTGTAATATTTTTAAGTTAGCATAAAATCTTATTGAGGGCAATAACTCTGCTAGAGTCAACTGAATTAAAAACAAAAACATAGCTATTCTTTCCAAGAAAAATCTCATCTTTGTAGATGACTTCTCACTTAGACACAAATAATTCTAGTTTGCCTCTCGACAGGTAGGCGAGAGGCACATGAGGACAGGCTTCAGACCCAGTGAAGGAAGCTAGAGCCACCAATACCTGAGCCTCGTAATGCTAAAACAGAGGTCATGAGAAATTGTCATCATTTAAAATAGTGGGGTATTCATTAAACACATTTACACAGTAACAGTTTCAAATATCCTATTTATCTATCATGACACTTAGAGTAGAAGTTAAAACCTAAAATTTCCTCTTATGGCTTAATATTAAAAATCATGATTTTTTTTTTTAGTTATAAAGTTGTCTGAAGCAATCTAGTCCACTGAATGTCTAAGTAACTATTCACTGCAGCCAGCACAGCCTTCCTCCCTCCACACCGGGATCCACTGAAACCTCAGTGGCTCATGCCTCTCCTCAGCCCCTAAACACAGAACTGCACTGCTTGGACTTGCTGGATGGCTGAAAGCTACCCGACAGTGTACCTGTGCTTCATGCTCCCACGCTTGAAAAATACCAACCAAGCAAACCATCCTCCAATAGCAAAACCTAACAAACCATTGCATGAAAGCTCCCAGGTTTAATCGGAAAGCGGTCCAGGGATGAGCATGTGCTAGGGAGCTATTTTGCTCAGAAACTGCTCCCAGAAAATAATCTCAAATGTCACCTGATGCACCTTCCTAGTTGACCTCCACATCGTTGGGCACATGTATGAGTATACATGCACACAAGTGTGAGTACCCATGGTTGGGGCTAAGTATTACCTCTGATGTAGACATTTCTCTCTCATGATACTTGTCCTGATAGGTGTACACGAGTGTATCTGTTTGTAGAACACCTAGGCACGGAGCCCTGAGCTTTACATCCAAATAGACACAACTTTGTTATTTAATTTCAATCACTCTTCTCTCTGGTATGCTTGAATTACTGAATGGAATCTCCAACAGTACTTCTTTTGTATGACTTCAAGGTTTTTAAAGTATCCTCGGGGATTGAAAAGTTCAGTATTTGTACATGACTGCATCGTTTCAGTACGTCAATCATAATTTTGTAAAACTCTTGATTTGGCAGTTTATGATCTGATTTCTTCACGAGAAGCCATGGACTCAATGAATGTAACCACTGTGTCAAATGGCTCACGCGTGGTGATGCCTCCTGCAGAACAGTTCTGCGACGCCTACTGCAGGGCCATTCTGACAACAGCCTACAGTGTGGTTCTATTCGGAGGCACTGCGGGAGCAGTTCTGATGTCACACATGATGTTCAAAAGAAAGAGCCACTCAGCGATCGCCACGATCATCATTAATATCATTGTGCTGCACTCCTTCCTCCTCCTCAGCCTGCCATTCCGCCTCAGCTACTACCTCTCAGCAGTCTGGAAGCTTGGGTCTTTTACCTGCCGAGTGGTTAGTGGCGTCATTTATGGTCATATGTACCTTACCTTTGTTTTCTATGTGGCCATTGTCATACTTCGGTTGCTCATCTATTTTAGGAAGCTCCAAACGCAGCAGTTACAAAAGTTCCATGCTGTGGTTCTAAGTGTTCTTATTTGGATGGCAGGAAGCCTCATCTTTTTGCCAATATTTTTTTTACAATATGGCACAGATCCAATTTACACAGAACAACAGCGATGCTTCGAGTTTCATAGATCTCTCAACTGCAGGGAAATCATCATCATAAACTACTCCATAATTGTCATCATGATGACAACAGTTCTGGTCCTCTTTCTGATACAGCTGCCTGTCATTCTTCGTTTGATAAAAGCCTATTGGCCTGATATGAGGGCCCATCAAGAGTACAGAGCCCAAATCAAGAGTTTCTTCTTCTTGTTAGTCATAGTTGTCTGCTTTATACCCCACCATGCATTCAGGGTGTACTTTATTCAAAATTATCCAGAGCAAGAAAATTCTAAGTTAATACTTTACAATGAAATCTGTGTTGCTTTAACGGCCTTCTGCTGCCTGGATATGTTATGTTTCATAGGTGGTGTCATCCATTAGACATGCTTTTCCATGCTTTCCTCTGTGTGTGTGTGTGTGTGTGTGTGTGTGTGTGTGTGTGTGATTGATTTATAGAATGTCATGATGATGTCGATTTAATAGATGAAGCTGTTATCATCTTAAATTTTTTTATAGCTCTCTGCTCCTGAACATCAAATTTTTGTTTTCGCTTAGCCAAAATTGTTTTCCTACAAAAACTTAATTAATCCTAGTCATTTATTATTTTTTCTATTTTGAGAATGCTTACAGGCTTCAAATGTATACCAGAATATGTTATATTTCTTGGCTTATAGTAACCAATTACAGCGTTCCTTCTTTTCTCCATTTCACTTAGTATGCACTTCAGCCAAGTACATCTATTGGTTCTTGCTATATTTCTGAGGCATTTAGTCTACAAAGTTTTGCTCTGAATATGTTTGTCTCTCCAATTTCTGTCTACCAGGACCTAGAGAACCTATTGATAGGGACTCTGCAGATAAACAGGGCTCTAAAATAGCCATAATTTATTCAACTTAACATTTCCTGCTGCTATTGGCATTGGGAGGAGAGCATTAGCTTGAACAGAGTGGTCAGGAGAGAGTCAGAGGAAACTCTTCCAAGACACTGGGCATTGATATGCTTCATTCTCATCAAGACACAGCAGGACTTGCAAGCCAGAAGTTACCTTCCAATCTCCCTTCAATACAATAGCAGTAAAATACATTGTAAAACATCAAAAACTGGACTTAGGCTAAGCTTGCCAACAGATCTTTGGGCACAAGCCTTTGAGGCCATAGAACTCTTTTTGTGATTTTTCCAAGACATCCTATGCTTTCAAGGACAATCTTATAATTAAAATGAGCACCTGTGTCTGTCACAGTCAACAAAAACAATCAAGATAACTAACTTGGTTTCTGTTTATATGATATAAAAATTGACATATGCTTTGCTCATAATAATGCATCCTTGAATAATGTATTTGATTAATACCGTAGTCAAACAATACTCTAGCGGCTAGTAGGTGAGCACAATTAATACCAATAAATTTTGGAGTCATGTGGAGACCTAGCAGGGAGGGGTGGTGGAGATCTAACTGTATTTAGTAATCACTATATGTGGAGTCAGATATTTGCAGTTCTTTCCATGGATCCTGTGACAAAAAAGTGCTAAACATGAAGGACTCCTTAGTTCCCTGCTTCCACAATTCAGTGACACCCTGTACAATGTACTTTAAAGACTGATCTTTTGCTAATGCTTTGATAATGGAGTATACCCTGGAAAGGCTAACGTATTAAAATTTGGTCCCTATGTTGCGTTCTGGAAACTTTGGGAGGCAAGACCGACCCAAGAGGAAACAGGTCAATGGTTCTTCCTCTCATTTTCTGCTTTCTGTTTCCCATAGAGGAAGAAAGTTCCTTCTTTGCCACATACCCCCTTATGGTGTTGATATTTTACTCAAACTCATGGTATCAAATGCGAGTTAAAGTAAACCCTCCTTTAAGCTGTTCTGTTAGTGACTTGGTTACAAGACTCTAAAGTGATTCATAAAAATAAAGTTGTTACTAGAGAAAACTCTTTGTTTCTTGGAGCTTTGGAATTGAATTGTGGGAATAATTTGGAATTGGGAAATGTAGGTTCTAGAGGCTCTGAGATGCTAAATGCAATCTTTAATAGCTGGATGCAATGGGAGCGCAGAACAACTAATGTTGATAGAGATACTGAGTTTTGCGAACAGACTTATGAAGTTTCAAATGACACTAGGAACTCCCTGGGAACTGCACCCAATGCCATCTATGCTCGTTATGAAAAAGCCTATAATTTGTCTGTATCCTGAAATTATGTGTCAGATTGTTTAAATATGATAGATTAATAAACTTGGTGAGTGAAATGTCAACACAGTATAGAATTCAGGCAATGGCAACTTTTTTTTTCTTCTGAATCCTTTTAGCCAGTTTAGAGTGAATATTGGTTTTGCAAGCCTCCACAGGACAAGAGTTATTGGCATGACTCTACCAAGATTCCAAAGGAAGGTCTGGGAGTCCAGTCAATTTGTGACAGGTCAGATTGCCTACAAGATGCTGCAAAATCAAGTCTGTGCTCCCTGGAGACCTCAGGATATTAGAGATCCCAGGAATGTTGAATGTGTGTTCAGAAAAGCTGGAAGCAACAAGAGGAGCAAAACATGAGGAAAGCTATGTGGTGTGTCAGATGTGCGATAGTCTAGGAGGATACACTGAAGAGTCGAAGGCAAGAGGATCACAAGTTCAAGGTCAGATTGGCCTACTCCTTTAAAAGGGCTGGAAAAATGGCTGAGCAGGTAAAGATGCTGCTACAAAGCCTGAGCATATGAGCTTGAACCTCAGAACATACATGTTAGTGTACCTCCTTCCCATACATGCACACACACACTGCATACATACACATACACACACCCCATGCACTACCCACCACATACACTATGCACCACACACACACACAAACATAAACATTCCACACTACACACACACACCATATATCACACACTGTACATACGTATACACATGCATAAACACACACACACCACGCTACATCTACACTCTAAACTACACACAACACACTACACCACACAACAAACACCACGAAACTAAAAACTAAGTGAAAAAAAAACATAACAGTCAATGGGGGTTTCTCCTATAAGGCCATGGGCAGAGGACTGCTCAAGCCTTTGGAGATTAGAACATGTCACCAAGTGCCCAGGGTACTTGAAATGGAATATAGAATTTAATGCTTGTTCTACTGGGATTTAGTTTTACTCGGGCCTATCCTCCTTGCTGTCACCCCATTTATTTATTTATTTTTGAAGTGGATTATTATTTATTCTATGCCAACCAATGTACCTTCAGGAATGTAACTTTAAAAAAATTCAACAGAAGCTCACAGCTGAAAGTATAAATCTCAGAAGAGATGTTAAATGTATAACTTAGAATGTTTAAAATTTGACTTAATTAATTAATTTCTGGTGTGTGTGTGTGTGTGTGTGTGTGTGTGTGTGAATGTTTGAGTACTTTTACCACATGTAGAAATCATTTTTCTCCTTCTACTGTGTGGGTTCCAGGAATCTAACTCAGGTCATCAGATCTCAAATGCCTTTACCCATAGAGCCATCTAGCCAGCCTTTAGCCTGAGATTTTGAACATTGTTGGAACTATGAAGACTTTGAGGCCTCTTGAAGATGAGTAGAATATAATTTTCATTGTGACAGGGACAAAAAAACTTTTGAGGGATATGAAAAACATGGTTTAGATATGAAGATTCCCCTTTAGAAGCTTATGAACTAAAACCTTGGCCTCCACTTGGAGAGATTCTGGAAGCTTGGAGCAGTCGAACTAAGCAGGAGGAAATAGGCTACTGAGTGTGTTTTCTTGAGGGTGTAGCGCCTCTTCCCCTACCCCACCAAGAAGGGAAGACACATCCTTGATGTATGCTCCTGCCCCCATGTGTTCTTCCCAAGTATGTTGAGCCAAGAACTTCTCTGGATCTGAGAACCAAAAATACACCTTCCCCCGCTTCGGTTATTGTATTAGGTATTGGTCACAGTGATACAAAAACAATGTCAATACAGGAGCCAAATTTCCACATGATGGTAATCCATGTAGAAATATACTTCAGAGACTTGAAATCTTATTGAACAACGCTTACCTCATGCTTTATTATTAATAATCAAGATATACATAAATACTCATTTTTGCCCATAAAACTTGTAATTATTCATACTACAATTATTAATTACACTTCAAAACATTACAGTCCAAATGTTGTATTATTTTGTTACAAAACAAGATTAGAATCAGTGTGCTTAAATTAAACTTAATTACTCTTTTTTAAGTTGATATGTCTTAACAACTAGTCCCTTCACAAGGTTGAGATTGATTTAGATGGTATTCAACTGACTAGTGCATTAACTTCCATTCCTTTTAAATATGATTGACAGCCTCTAAGAGCAATGCTAATGATTGCTGCCTACAAATATTCTCATCTCTGCACAAGCTCTTCCACCTCCTCTATCGACTTGCAAATAGAGGACATTTTGAAGAGGTGTCACTTGGCTAATGGAAAGTTGCTTCTCTTTTGGATTGGCTTTTTCCAGAAAAACCTGAATCATGACATAAGCCTGTGGGAAAGCCCATATGGCCAAGAACTGAGGCTTCTTAGCAGCCCTGTGAGTGAGCCTGGTTATGAGTCCTTTTTCATTAAACAATGAAATAACTGCCTTCTAGGCCGGCACACTTATTGTTGTTTCATGAGAGACTCCAAGACAGAACCACTCAGTTAAGCCACTTCTAGATTCCAGTATGGAACTGTAAGTGATTCATTTGAACATTGTGTCTTAGATGATGTAGACTGTTTTAAAACAAATTAATCACATGTACAAAATTCTTCCATGTAAGGCACGACATCTGAATTTTACGACCCACTTGCTAGTCTCTACTGTTCCAGTTGCTGGTAATAACAAACAAGCATTGCTTAAGACTATGTCTGTTACTACATCAGAGGCTTGCATGATAGTGTGTAAACATATGTAAACATGGAAACAGATCTCGGTAGTTTGTGATAGACTGCAAGGAGAGCATTGGATAGGAACTGATAGTCATGCTAAGCATATAGACCATTAGTTCTCAATATATGGTTTCTTGAATCACTATCAGTTATACTGTTTGTGGTTTGTGTCTTAGTGTGTTCTGTGTTGCTATAACTGGATACCACAGACTGAAAAATTTACAAAATAAATATAATTGTGAGACAATAAAATTTTCTTTTTTATTTTTAAATTTAATTTTATTTGTATAGTTATTTATCATAATTTAGTCACTTTTTAGCCCCTCTGCAGCCCTATTCCTCTTCTCCTCCCAGTCCCACCTATACTCCGTCTTCTCTCCCTATGTTCTTTCCCTAGTCCCATGATAGGGGAGGACCTCCTCCCCTTCTATCTGAACCTAGCTTATTAGGTTTCATGAGGGCTGGCATCATCTTCCTCTGTGGCC